CCGGCTGCCAGTCGGTGTCGACCTTCTCCGCAGTGAGTTGCCGATCGGATACGCTACCGAACCGGACTTAGTTTTGAATGGGGACAGGGGCGCAGAAAAGGAGTTAACAGAGTGCCGGGGGACCTCCATCCTCTTCTCCTTCTACTGCTCCTGCTCCCGGGGTGACGGAGGAGCAGTCGGCGGTGGAGGTAAGTGGAGTACCGCTGTCTCTCACGGCTCTACAAACTTCGGCTCAGCGTAAGAACCGTTCGCCGGTTGTTTCAGACCGGTGTTTGTTTCCGACTATTTTCGCCGATTTTAACAACTTTAACGTCGAGTTTGAACCGTGGAATTGAACACTAAACTACCCCGTGAGTCTCGGTGACGGCGTCAGTGCACCTGTTACGTAGACGTTAATCAGAATAATAATCATAATCACAATAATTACGGGTCAATAGCTGTGGAAAAAAAGGGATTTAAATCGGGTTCGTATCGCAATTAATTGTCAAAAATGAACATTCCTAAACTTAAAAACCTTTACTTCTATCGTGGGAACAGTCGACTCTACTTCTTAAAGTGAGTATCTTTACTTTATATCAGGGATTCTCACATATATACACGTATATACATATACACATATATACACATATATACCCATATACATATATACATACATATATACACATATACGCATATATACATATATACACATATATACAGTACATATATACATATATTTATACATATATACACATATATAAACATACTATATATTTACATATATACATTTATACACATACTGTATATACCATATACATATATACATACATATATACATATACACACATATACACATATATACATATATATATACACATGTATGTATATGTACGGTAATTCCCACCGGCCGACCAGTCCTTGGTACAAAAAAAGGGGTTGCGGACCGCTTAATATCCTATATCCTGACCACAAACTAGCATCGCTAGCTTGTCAGCAAGGAAATATATATTTTTAGTGGAATTTTTTTACGAAAAAAATTTTTTAAGACTTTTTTACATCTTTGTCCTTTTTGTATAATTAACAGATGTGTCCTATTTTTGGAAACAATTGCGATTTTTTTTTGTTTACCTTGATGATCTGTGACATCACATGACATCACCAGCATCTATCATTTTACGCAAAGTTTCTCTAATTATATTGAATTAAATAGCAACGTAAATATAAACCAACAAATTAATAAATAAGAAAAAAATCAGAGGGAAAGGATGGAAACTTGAAGTGACAACTGCTCGGTGCCGTCGCATCTCTCTTTCCCACCTGTGGTTGAAACCGTTAGACGGTTCTCAGTTTCTGTCGGAATGTAAATAGAAACAGTAACTGGAGGAGCGCAGTAGCCAGGACAACCGTGTCGAGGAGGATGTGGCGCGGGGTGGGGGGTTACAGTACGTGTCTAACACGACGTCTTCGGTTTTGTTGAAAACCATACCTTCTTTTTGCTTTGTTTCTTGTTTTTAAACCACCGTGCTAGCTGCTGCGGTTACCGCGGCTAATTCGTGTTTGCTCGAGTCTGGCTCCTTTGCGATTTAATTTTGTTGTTTTTGTTAAATAAAAATTTTTTTTGCTTAAAAAATGTTGTATTTTGAAACAAATTTGTTAGCTTCGCAACAAGGTAAAAAAAAAAAAAAAATCTTTTCCGCACATGAGCCGCTCTTAGCTCGTATGCTAACGGTGCTGCTCAGCCAATTTATTGGCCTAAATGACATGATTGGACGAATAACACGTAAAATATAATAATAATAAAAAAAACTGTCTATCGTAAAACCCTGTCAGTAATTTTTTTTCACCGTTTTTCGTCTTTGTCATCACACCGTAAAAAAAAATTACTCTTGGCGCTCGTGTAATAACTTAACGGCTAATAATTGCGATTATACGTCAGAATGACTTTTCGTCGTTAGCAATATTTTTCCCATATTTTTATGAGTACGGGACATTTTTTCTCGCACGTTTTCTCCGCAGTAGAAAAAGTAAGAAAAACTGTTGAGCCGTACACGTACTAACATCAGTCGACGTGGATATATATTTATATATATTTGTGTACATATACTGTGGGTATGAAGTCATAAAAACAAACAAGGTTGTTTTTATGTTCCCTATTTTTATCCCCCTGCTGGGAGCTGACAGGATTGGAGAGAGCATCATTTGAAGTCGGGTCTGAACATAACCCCCCTCGCACCCCTTCGCCCATAAAACTTCCCTGCAGGGAAAATGACCCAAATAAAGATCCCTCCCAAGGAGGCAGGGGAGGAGGTACTTGGTATACAGAGTATACGGTTTGTACTAGTGAATGTATTTCTCGATAACACTGCGTTACAGTAAATGGAGAGGTCGCTAAATGAACAACTTTGGTTTCTTCTTCTATGAGAACAAGGAGAAACACTCGTGGGAAAGTTCTTGAAAATCCGAACAAGGAAAAAAAAAATCGTCAAACTCCCTCTGTGCCCTTGAGCTCTAGAATCGTTCCTGTTTTTTTTTTTTTTTTGGGTGGCTCTTACTCATCCATCCATGCATTACTTTTTATGTAAGTAACTTACTTTGGCACCCCCTAGGGGAAGGGAGGCTCACACTTGCAGAAACCAGATAGAAAATTAAGTAAATTTGTCGTCAGATAGAAATTTTCCTCATACGTTGAGATTTTTGTAAATATATTTTTTTTATATTAAATTTGAAGAATGAAGTACAAGTCGTTATTTCGCGGTTCATCATTTGCAGATTCACGACTTTGCCGGTTTTTGAAAACTGTTTACATAAAATATACTGGATCTCAGATTTGGATCCGGGAGAGATGTCACAGGAATGGAATGACAATACGGTTCGATCGGTCCAATTTTGTGACAAAATCAACGACGTCGTGACTGCCTACAAGCTAGTCTTTGACTGAAAAAAAAGCAGCGTAAGCAACTGCCGATCGCAGTGTTTTTGCAGCCTCGCCAAAAAAACGGATACACCTTCAGAAGCCGTGGAAGAGGTGTCCCGAGAAATGGCACCACCCTGTGGAGAGACGTAAAAGTAAAAGTCATCATCACCTTCCTCGTCATCATTTTACTGCGCATAAATACGGCTTCACGACTTTGCGGAAATTCAGTTCTCGCGTCAGGGTCTTGGAACCGATCTACCGCGATAGACGAGGGACAGCAGTACTGCAGTTAAAACCATATGCCATATACCGTATACCTCTTAGAGATGAAGCTAAAGAAATGTATTCACGTTTTAGGAAATCTGAACATTTTTCTACGTTTGTTAGGAGGAAGAAAACAAAAAAAGAAGTCTGTGTATTTTCACCTTTTTCAGCGCTACACGCTGAGCTCACCATCTGCCAGTGCAGCGTTCCTGTCAAAATGTAACTGCGATATTCTTAATCATCGCAGTTCAATCACCTTCTCCTCACACACACGAGGCCACATGGGCGTTTTTTTTTACTGCACCAGGAGACACAGAGACGAGGACGCCGCTGCTCTCGTCCCCGACGTCCTCGTGAGAGTCATGTATTTTTTCATCTTATTTTTGGGCTCGAACTGACGGGTGAACTTTTCGCTTTGCGGTCAGGTGACCCCCGTGTGGCTGTCGTGGTTCTGGTACAGAGGTCTTGTTAGCGTTCTTGTTAGCGTCGGTTAAAACAGTGTGTGAGAATTTCGTACGATATAGAGAGTATATCTCCACAGTCGGAAATCTCGGCAGTCCCGTTGAAGCCGCAGTGAGAAGCCGCACCGCATGATACTTTACAACAAGGGTGTCAAACATAAGGCCCGCGGGCCAAAACTGGCCCACTTGGGGGTGCCAATCTGGCCTGCTTGATGATTTTTTTTTAAAGTAAAAAAAACACAAACAAACTCTCCATGTTCGTGACGTTTGGTAAAATTATATTTCATTTAATATGAATATTTTGTGATATATATTTCAACTTCTTTGCATAGAAACTAAGGGTAATCTGCCATCTGCTGGCTAGTTTTAAAACTGCATTTTGCATAGTAAAAATCAATTAGAGTAATTAGGGTCTGTAATCAGGAAATACTGTCGAGTGTTTCATGACAAGAAATACGTCCTCGGAACGCCTAACCTAAGGGGCTGTCAAACATAAGGCTGGCGGTCCAAAACGTGGCCCAAGTGGTGTTCCAATTTTGGACTGACTGTCTCCTGATTTATTTTTTTCTACCCCCAGTGAAACTGACCAACAGCAGAGGGACCTGTCACTCCATGAGGAGGTGTACCACCGGAGGACCACGACCCCCCTCCGCTACCAGTCCCGTCCTATGACCCCCTCTCCTCCACAATCGGACATGGTGAGACCCCGAAGAAACAGAAACAGAAATGTTTGGTTGGTTGTGCTTGTTCCTAGGAAAAAAAACAAACACAATTATAATTGGTGGGATAGGGGGCGCCAAATCCCTGTTTGAGATACAATATAAAATCCAGGTCCGGTTAAGGTTTGGGTCAGGTACTAGGGAACGCGCTAGTGCATACATGGTATTCGTAATGGTTCAGGTCAGAATGTTAGCTGCCACCTAGGTCGCCATCTGCTGGAAGACATGATATAATCCGTCCAAAAAAAACCCAAACAAACACAATTATAATTGGTGGGTTAGGGGGCGCCAAATCCTTGTTTGAGATACAAAATAAAATCCAGGTCTGATTAAGGTTTGGGTCTGCGGAGTTGCTGTTGCCGAGACGCAGCGAACGTCGTTGTCTCTCATCGAAAATCTTGTTAATGTGTTTCACCTTGTGTTGTCTGAGTGTACTACAACTTAGTTGTTGTTGTTGTTGTTGTTGTTGTTAAGCGCCCCGTGGCAGTTAAGCGAGATTAGCTAGGGGTTGTAATAAATGACCCTCGCAGCTATGGCGGCAGCCTCTGAGATTTATGCTCCATGAATTATTAACGCGTCGTAAAAAATAAATAAGTCACTACGATGAGCGCTGCTACGTGCAGGTGGAGAGGTGGAGAGAGAGAAAGGGAGGACGGTAGAGAGAGTTTGACATTTTGAGAGTGACACGTTTCTTTATGTCGTACATCTCTCTGTCGTACATTTACCATGTCTGGCAGCAGATGTGATCCAACGACCTGCTGCGTGTAGCTCCGCCCACACTGACACACCTCCCTGTACTGTAGGAAGAAAACCACGGTTTACACCTGCGATTATCAACTGGTGGCCCGTGGACCGAATCTGGTCCACATAACTGTCCAACCCGGCCCACGACTACATTCCAAAATAACTTTTTAAAGGTGTCTGGAAAAAATCTGATCCCCCGACAAATATAGTTGGTGACTCCTGGGTGTCAGACCGCTAACACGTAGCACAGCACTAAAGGATCTGCAGCTGTGTTTCGTTAACACTTGAAACACTAGAAGACGGTCGTCATCCGACTCTGGCTACAACATAAAATATCACTTTAATGACTGCTAGCCTGAAAGTTTATCATACCCGTTAGAATAGCATATGCTACTTAGCTTTGCCTAAAAAGTTTTGATCGTAGTTTTATCCATCTTCCTCCTTCACATTCAGAGGTCGGTGCCATCATTCGCCAACGACGATCGCCATGTCATGGCCAAGCACGCCGACGTCTATCCGTCCCCCGAGGAGCTGGAGGCCGTGCAGATACTGGTGTCCACCGTAGAGGGCGCTCTCAAGAAGGTTTCCGATTGGATGGACAGCTTTGACAACGCGTCGGAGACGACTAAAAGAGACGAGGTGCCGGGACTTAACGCCGTGGAGGAGAGCGGGATGAAAACAAGGTAGTAGAACACGTACTACAAATACAACGCAGGATACTGTACAAAAATATTTTGAACACAATCCCGATCGACCAGTCAATGCGGTTGACGTCACAGGAAGTGATATTTTTGACAATGACCCTCCATCATTGAAGTCCCGCCCCGTCAGCTAACCACTGAGCCACTGACTTTTTTTTTTAACTCTTCCGAACCCGACCAGGTCGGTCCTTTGCGGTGTGACCCGGGTCGGCCTCTTGGCGAAGGGCCTGTTGGTCAAGGGACAACTGGACCTGGAACTTGTTCTGCTGTGCAGAGAGGAACCCACCAGGTCGCTCCTGTATACCGTCAGCGCCAACCTGCCGCTGCAGATCCAGGTACAGATCTACAAACTAAACCTAACGAAAATATATACAGTGGTCGTTCTCATAAATGCGTAAATCTCATATTGCGACGCAGACGATGACGGAGGAGAAATTCGAAGTGCGGTCCTGTGCGTCCGAGGCAGCCGTGTGGGTCTGCACCACTAGGTATCCCGTGCTGACGCTGAAGATCACCCTGTCCTCCTTGGCCACAAGGGGGAAGCGGATGAACCTCGCAGAAGAAGAAGGTACTAAAACAGGCCTCCGCCCCTCATTTTTTTTCTCTTTCTTTTTATTGACTTTAAGCTTCAAGATTGAAATATGGGAACGGAAGAAAGAAAATGAAATCGGAGCGAGAAACGGGAGACGGCGCGGGGAAGTTGCAGATTGAGGATCCATCCAGGGGCAGGAAGCTGAGAGGGGAACAAGGACAAGAGATGAAATTGATATTGCTGAAGTGTGTGTGTGGGGGGGGCAGAGAAAAGAGGAGGGTGTGTCAGGTGCCGTCCCGTATTGATTCCAGCAAAGATGATTTAGGTTTGTGTCGGGAGGAAATTTTATTTTTTTATTTTTTTATAGAAACAGCCACATACATTAATCTAAAAAGGCATTAAGTTTAAAAATTCAAATTTTCTTTGCTACATTGCCCCCTCCAGCAGAGGGAGCCATAGATGACCACCTATCCTAAAAGCAGACTCAGCCGTCATTTGTGTCCGTTTATTTATTTATTCTTAATGCAGTAAAAAAAACTCCAAACCTAGGCGTTCAAAATGATAGAGTATTTTCTCTGAGCAGAGTACTGCATTGTACTACTAACAAGTCCCAGAGGCAGAACATGAATACTGTCCTTACTGCGTGGCACCACCAGGAGGAGGAGGAGGACGTGGGAGGACGTGCAGCGCTCCAACTCTTTTTGTCCTTAATAGCTCACACTGCAGTGTGTTTCCTGCAACAGACGGCAGCGCCACAAGGACCAGACCAGAGTCGGTACCAGACCGCAGTCGGTACCAAACCGCAGTCGGTACTAGACCAGAGTCGGTACCACACCGCAGTCGGTACCAGACCACAGTCAGTACCAGACCAGACCAGAGTCGGTACCAGACCGCTGACGGTATCAGACCGCAGTCGGTATCAGACCGCTGTCGGTATCAGAACGCAGTCAGTACCAGACCGCAGTCGGTACCAGACCAGAGTAGGTACCAGGCCGCAATCAGTACCAAACCACAGTCGGTACCAGACCGCAGCCGGTACCAGACTACAGTTGGTACCAGACCAGACCACGGTCGGTACCGAGTGAACCAGACTTTAGGTTCAGTAGACGTTTGGAATCAGACACCGCACTTGCATTTGAAATAAATGTACACTTAACTCATGATAACGTTTTTTTTTCTTTTTGTTTACGATATGATTTTATCACGATCTTTCTAACAAAATGAATTCTGTTGTCACTTAGCCTACGTAGGGACCTGATATTTTGGTTTATTAGCGGGTCACGACCAATGTTTTTAGGCGCACACTGCCCCCTACTGTACTGGAGTGGGTAGTGCCGTGGTATGACTAGTGACTTTTGAAGATAACGCAGCCGAAATGTTAGTTCAACTTGGTTAGTTATTCGGTTAAGTGTTAGTGCGAAGTGTTAACTTCACGGTGTAACTCCTTACACCTCGAAGCACATTAATTTTCTAACCGATGCAAATTGCCACGGTATGAAGTGATGGTCGGTTGTTACTTCAAAATGTACCAAAACTCTGTCACCCTGCACTTCAGAGACAACGCAGGAGAATGTCCACGAGGAGGTGGACAACAGAGAGGACAAGGACGACGTCCTGGACCGCCACAAGTGCCGAGCGGCGCTAGCTTCACTCCGACGCGCCCAGTGGTTCCAGGTTAGTGGAATTTATTTTTTAAACATCACCAACGTGAAGTCAAAAAATTCAGTACCAGACCGCAGTCGGTACCAGATTAGAGCCGGTACCAGACTGCAATCGGTACCAGACCAGAGTCAGTACCAGACCGCAGTCGGTACCAGACCAGAGTGCGGTACCGGACCAGAGTCGGTACCAGACCTTGGTTGGTACCAGACCGCAGTCGGTACCAGACCTTGGTTGGTACCAGACCGCAGTCGGTACCAGACCACAGACGGTACTAGACCACAGACGGTACCAGACCAAACCAGAGTCGGTACCAGACCAGAATCGGTACCAGAGTGCGGTACCAGACCACAGTTGGTACCAGACCACGGTTGGTACCAGATTGCAGTCGGTACCAGACCGCAGTCGGTACAAGACCACAGTTGGTACCAGACCAGAGTCGGTATCACCAACGTGAAAAAAAATTCATCAAGTGGGCCTGATCGAACTCCCCCAGTTGGGCCACTTTTGGCCCGCGGGCTGTATGTTTGACACCCCTGCTTTAATTGACGGTGTGTTTGTATGGGTTTTTCAGGCCAGAGTGACACATCTCAGGTCCTGTGTGATCATCCTGAGGATCTTCAGGGATCTCTGCAGCAGACTTCCTGTGTGGCAACCTCTCGAAGGATGGGTGAGAAACAGTCGAACAATCGGTCAAACAGTCAGTCAAACAGTCGGTCAAACAGTCAGTCAAACAGTCAGTCGGCACATGTCTGTGTGTAGGAGCAGGATGTGTTATCTCTCCCTCGTTCCACAGCCTCTGGAACTAATCAGTGAAAAAGCCCTCGCCACCTGTAATCGCTCCCTCGGTCCAGGGGAGGCGCTGCTTTGCATCCTCGAATGCGTCGCCTCAGGAATTCTCCTACCAGGTCAGTGGTCACTCTGTATTTTCACTTTTCAAAATTAATCAAATTCAAGTGGGCCCGATTGAACCCCACCAGTGGGCTGCTTTTGACCCACGGGCCTTATGTTAAACGATTTAATTGTAGGAAATACTAAAACTGGAACTGGAATCACTAAAGAAGAAAGAAAAGAAAAAGTAAAATGAACCAACACCAGGAGTATTTTATCGTTACGGTATCGCAAAACGAGACATTGCGATATTTTTCGATGTATCGGTATTTTCCACTCGTTTTTGAGATCCTATGAAGTCTAACTGATGATGTCGTTGTTGTTGTTGTCGTCACAGGAGGTCCAGGACTTCAAGATCCCTGCGAGAAGGAACCCACGGACGTCCTGTCCGACCTCAGTCCGCAGCAGGCGGATGATATTACCCACAATGCCCAGGTGAGTTCTTTCCTCGTTGTATGCCTCAGTGACGATATGTCTGGCGAGGGTGTAATTTTTTGTATTTTCAAAATTCATCAAGTTGACCGGACTGCACTGCCAGGCAGGCCCATTTGGGGCCCACGGGCCATATGTTTGACACCTCTGACATAGATGATAGAAATTTTTTTTTTGTGTGTCAGTACCTGCTTTTAAAACACATCCACACACCTTTTTTTTTTTTTCTTTTACATCAGCCCCTCGGTACAGCCCTCCCTGGAGGAGGACGTGGGACTTTGTCCTTGCAGCGCTCCAACTCTTTTTGTCCTTTATAGCTCACACTGCAGTGTGTTTCCTGCAACAGATCCACAAGGATCAGATAAGAGTCGGTACCAGACCGCAGTCAGTACCAGACAAGATTCGGTACTAGACCAGACCAGAGTCGGTACCAGACCAGACCAGAGTCAGTACTAGACTAGAGTCAGTACCAGACCGCATTCGGTACCAGACCGCAATCGGTACCAGACCGCAGTCGGTACTAGACCAGAGTCGGTACTAGACCAGAGTCGGTACCAGACCAGAGTCGGTACCAGACCGCAATTGGTACCAGACCGCAATTGGTACCAGACCACAATCGGTACCAGACCAGAGTTGGTACCAGACCGCAGTCGGTACCAGACCAGACCAGAGATGGTACCAGACAGCAGTCGTTACCTCTATTTCCTTTTTTGTGTCAGTACCTGCTTTTAAACCACATCCACAAAACCACCCCCCCTGCTGGGATTAACTGTAAAACCGCACATGTTCTGAGGTCTGTTCTGCTTTATTTACACACACACAGGCACACATCAGAAAGCCTTTTATTTGTTGTTTTCACCACCAGGGGGGCAACAACAAACCCCCCGCTCCAGAACCCCCCCACGATCCCTCCTCCATTCCTGTTCACCTGCTGTTAAAAGAGCTGCAGACATTTACAGTTCAAGGCC